GAATGACACTTAATGACAGTTGTCATAAACATGCATAAAACCTCCTTCATATTCATGACATGTGTCATGTCATGATTATGAAGGTGTCATGTCAGTCTTATGCACACCCCTTCAAGTAAAGTATTACCGATGATTGTTTTCTCACCCACTGCTGTGCTGAAGGCCAAGGAAAGCCTGAATAACCAGAGGTAATTCATACTTCACAATGAAGAGGTAGCTAGACATAGCTGAAAGAAAGAGAGAGACGGATTCATCAAACACAGTTTGGTCGTACTGACTCCCTTATACAGTAAATGGCAGATCTTTGTGGCTTGTAGACTAAGGTGACTTTTGCCTGTGGAGTATACTGTATATTATAATACAGCTGGCAGGACAATAAAACTTTTGTTACATCGTCTGAGAGAGAACATTACGTAACATAGTGCTGCTATCATATGGACATATATCATTCCTCATAAAACTCAGGGACTGCTACTAAACCACTGTATTTTTAAAGGCTTATGATCATTTAAAAGCCTTTATAAATTTACATTTTCATGTCCTACTAACAGACCAAATTATAGAGAGATATTATTTCAATCTAATGGAGAATAATAAATCATAATCAGTATAACTGGATCTGGTACAGTGTTCAACGAAAGAGTCAGCAAAAAGATGCAGAGAAAAAAGGGAGTTTGAAAATAAGATCAGAACTGACCCAAAACTCTAACTTACCACCAATGTTGTGCATTGTTATGACAAGAGCTGCCAGTATTTTTCCCGGGTGTCCAAATGCTCGTTTACCCAGTTGTTCATAAGCGCGAATCCCTGTACAGACAGGTTAGTGATATAATGATTTATCCTGATGGACTAACTAAAATCCTTATATACAGTGGGGTCCAAAAGTCTGACATCACACTGAAAATATGGCATTCAAAATTTAATTTAACCTGAAAATAATCAAAAAGCTTTAGATTAAAGATTTAAAGTTTAGTTAAAATTTTTAACGTTTATATTCAATTATGTCTTCATCATTGTCATTATATCAAAAGAGTGACAATAACAAGACATTCTGAAATGTGTATATATTTTATATGATATATATTATTATATTATTTACTCTCAATTCAGCTTTTCACTCAAATTGCTATAATGATTTTTAATAAAAATACTGTATTTAATTGAAATAGAAGCATTTATATACAAGCATTTAACCCCACTGTACAAAAAGAAGCAATATTAAAAGTCTCTTTTTATTTTTATAACACAAACATTTTAAATAATGACCAAATCTCTTGAATCGGCCGTACCTACAACCCCTGCACTCCTCAGCAGAAGATGGACAGAGTATGATGACAAGACAGCAATGCAGGTCAACAAGATCCTGTTAAAACAGAACAGAAAAACATAAATTATGATTTGTCTCATGTAAATGCTCTATGTAGTTAAAAATATGTGTTAAAAGCAATCAAATATTTCTATAATGTTTATTAGATAATTCAAATGGTAAGAAATTCCATGTAAGGACACTTACATTGCATCTAGTTGTGAAAGGGATTTGAGGTGCATTCTGGGATACTCACAGAAAGAGAATGATACCAGTGTTGGACATGGCGTAAGACAGTCCCAGAATCCCACTGCCCATGATGGCATTGCTGAGGTTGAAGACAGACATTCCAAATGACGTCTTTCCTTCAAACTAGCAGAAACAACAGACACAGAGACAATAAAAGGGAAGGAGTCGGGGGAAAATAACAACCACAGATTCATTATAGACTAGTGAAAATCGGCTGCTTTATTAATATGAGCTTGATTTCTGCACTCACATCTGTAAACTGAGGGGGTTTTCCTCCATCACTCTTGTGTGGTAAAAACTCCTCTTGTTCAGGTGACTCTCTAAAACATATAGACAAAAGTCACACTCTATAAATGCAGCTATTACCAGGACATCAGTTATGATGCTACAAAGTTTAAAAGTCTAATGTGTAAGTATTGGTAGCGTAGCCTGCTTGTTTACTATAGTTAACCGTTTGGACCTTTTTCATTTACTCTTTACATTTATTGTCCCCTGACATTCATTTTGTAGGCAGTAAATGGTAAATCAGGGGGTTCAGGTTCATAAAATTAATTGAAGCCAAGGACCCTTTCCAAATTTTATGTTAAAGGTAACCCTTTTGCCTTACAAGACCCCCATTAAAATGATACAAAGTGATGTGCTTGAAATTTTAACAGCCCAGGCCCAGTTTATCATGGTGTTTATATGTCATAAAATGTGTCAAGGATGATATCACTTAATATGTTGATGTTGAACAGTTAACGCTGATTTGTTCAACCTGTATGGAATGCATTAATGTGACTATAAATCCAAGGTTATTTCTTGTGTGCTAATGAGGTGAAGGCTATGCTGTGGTATGGTGCTAAATTTCTCACTCCCTGGAAAAAAATATTTTAATGATGTTGCAATGCTCACATTTTCCTTTTAGGTTCATTTTAAGTTCACCCAAATATTTACTTAAAATAAATGTAACTCTGCTTATGACTATCTAGCATAGCGTTAGTTCTGGCAGGTCACGTTAGTCAAGCTCGCATCAGCTGATCCCCATCTACCTATGGGAATACGACACCTATCTAAGCATTCATATATAAGCTCCCTCAGTATTATCAGCAGTTTTCGCATTGCTCAATAGCTAATTACCCTCCTCCATCCCCAACTCCTCCTCTGTCAGTCAGGATTCAGCCTTCTGATTCTCCTTTGAATCAGACTAATTCTAAAATGTGCACATAACATTATTGAACTTTAACGATATCTGCAATACATTTATGTTGGTTCTGTTCTGTTTACCCTGGGAGGTTATCGCTGCTCTCCCTGCTCTCATCCATGCTAGGCTGCATGGATGTGCGCAGGGAGTTCTTGCCCAGAACAGAACCATACCGCCAATCCAAACTGTATGCTAATTGTCAATCATCTTTGACGATAGTGGTCCTGACAGAAGTGGTGTTCTAGAAAAGCAGATGGTGAAGCAACCGAATAGTGTGTTTGCTTTTAGCATGAATCTGCAGGCCAATAGAAAATAGATATGTAGTGACAGATTTAGTGACACAGGAAGCGTATTCGCAATTCTGTTTTTAAAGCAAAATTACTTTTAATGAATGACACATACCCTTCTTCAAGATGTTGAAAGTCTTGGTGGTGACCGTTTGTTAGTTTCTGAAGTTCCATGATGTATTCTTTCTTTCTTTTTCCCTTTTGAGCAGTGAAAGTTGTGAAAAGTGGAGTGAAGCGTTTTCTCTAAAGTAGATCTGCAAGAAATAAATGACAATAAAAGCAGTTAAAGCAGACTAAAATACGAATGTCACTTAGTTAGCAGCATATATACAGTACTGTAATGATGCTGCTAAAAAGAACATTATTTTGGGTATTTGGTGTAATGAAATGTGTTTATGCGGTTTAAAGTTAAAAAAACATTATTTTACAGATCTTCTTTATGCACCAAGAGCTTGTAACACTCCAAAGAGAAAGGAAAAATTGAAATCGCATCATATGACCCCTTAAATACTATTAATACTAGACTAATACTTAGTCTATACTAATGTTACACAATTTTTGCAATGACAATCGCTACTTTTGAGCAGCCTTAACTCAGATACCTGAGACTGTTAAATGCACTTTTTGACCCTGTCTTCGTATAACTTTATATTTAGACATAATTTTCCTTAAAGTTATCCAATGAGAAGACCGTGAGAGCTGTCAAGATATAACTAAAAGTCCAGGAAGCATGAGGTCCACGTGTCTGTTTCCCACCACCTCTATTGTGATTGGCTCTTAAGGTTATGTTTCAAGTGGGGAAAGAGCATAAACATACACAAGAGATCTGTAATTCTGGGTTTATTTTGGATTCTTGCCTTTTCAATTGTATAAATTAACATTCATAAAGAAATAGCACATTTTTTAAGAGCTAATTTGACAGACATGTCAAACACCACACTTCTAGGAAAATTATTGTTCTGGTACAAAATGACGTTCACTATGTGTGTGAATTCACTGATGAACGAAGAGCTTTGGAACTGTGACTTCTTCTGTGCTCCATTTAGTCATTTCGTAACTCTAAAAGCACTCTAAAAGCTCTACAAGATTTAGTAGTATACTTCTTTTTTGTGTGTTGCTACGACACTCATACCCAAAGGGGACACACATCCAACCTTTACTGACTGACAAGAGTGGCCAAAACTGCCTCTGGAGAGACGCTACTTTTGACATTCTGTCTTTTAGCTTTTACAAGGACTAGAGGTCAGTGTTATTTTAGTATCACTGAGAGACTATTATAGCTATTAATATAGAAATATTGAGAGACTATTCATATAAAAATATTGTGTAGTGCAATGTGTAGTGATTACAGTCTGCACAGTATTGAATGAAATGTACATGTGTACTCCATCATTATGACTGACATCAGTCAAATCAACACATAGTATGTTATGTATTAACTCTATAGTGGTTTGCAAACTACTGATGGTTCAGATTTTGAAATCAGTGGGATCTATTCCATACGGCGGGAATCATGGTCGCATGCTAACAAACGTAACAGTATGTGACTCAAACAGCTCTACTAAGAATGTTTCTTGCAACGTGTATGCGAATTATCGCACAGTGTCTCAAAGACGTAAGAAAGTGTAAATGGAAAAAAATCCCTCTTCAATGCCAGGGCAAATCTATCAGAAAAATTTAAACAAATATGAGATCAGCGTGTTTATAAGACCCTGTGGAATGCTGTGGGAAGAAGCAACAAGGTGAATTACTGTTGGATATGAAATTCACAGTCACATTCAGCCACAAGTCTGAATACGTGGCTCAGGCTTAGGAGGTTTGGAAACTTTCCAGCAGCCTCTGCCAGCTGTAGTTCCCAAACTGCTTTCCGAGCGCAACCTTGTACACCCAAAAACTTGATAAGATGAGTTGTAATAATACTGCCAGCACATGGTGATTAATTTATGAATTGAAAAGTAATTAAGTTTAAAAATATAACATGCTTTGAGAATGTGCAGTGCATATTTAGAAAATCTAAATATGATTTTACATAATTACTTTAAGATCTGGAGGATGTAAAAGCAACACAGCTCTTTCAAAAGCTTGTGAATCTTATTAGCTTCAACTGATTAATGGATTGTCACTATATATATAGTTTCCAAAATTTAACATTGAGTTGCCAGCCTGAGATGTTGACCTTTTGTACTGTGGTCTGGCAAAATTCCACACTGTGTGGTAAAAGTCATTAAAGTGTCTGACCCATCAGGCTGAATGGTAATTCTGAAGTATCTGCAGACTGGAGTGGAGAATTGCATAATCTGTGATGTTTATGTCATGAATAATGAAGCATTGTGGAAGAATGTTTTGGAAAGTTATAGCACCTTCTCATAAACTCACAATTATTATTTCTTGCCTAAACTCACTACTGTAAGACAGTTTTTGTAACAGTCATTTACAGCCATGTAAATTGAAAACTGCTAACAGAAGTTTGAAACCCTGATCATTTAGGCTAGTAGAAACTATATAGAGAGATAGATCATGTACAATGTGAACGTACAATTATAGTACATCGTAAACAATCAGTTTCATTGTTACCTAAAACTAAAACTATCAATCAAATTATTAAAACTATCTATCAAACTATCAATATCAATATCAACAAAGAAATATTCAAAAATTAATAAAACTGTCAACAGCACAAAACAAAATTACACAATCGAAAATTAAAATGAAAACAACAAATATAAAAGCTATTAATACTTACTGTAATAGTATATAAATAACACTAAAATAACACAGTATAAGCAGTATTCAATTTACCCTATTGATAACATTCTGAGAATTGTATATAGCTGTAAAACATCACTTTAAGGTTCAATTAGTTAATGCATTATAAACTAAAAATAAAAACAACACTTCTTACAGGATATTAAGGTAATGTTATATATAAAGTAATATTATATATTAGTAAAGCCTATGTAGAAATTAACATTAATGAAGATTAATAAATGGTTTAAGTGTTATTTCATGTAAGCTATTTCAGTAAATACTGTTAACGTATAGAACCATATTGTAACGTGTTACCAACAGCACAAACCACAAGTTTAACCAAAGACGATTATGTGAGCTTTAAAAGCAATGTCATGAGTCATAGCGTGTAAACTACAGCCGAAACCAACTGGACAACATTCCTGAAGGAAGGATTTGTTAACTTACTAAGTTCACTCTTAAAACAACAGACAAATGATCATTTCTCAAATATCAGTGACTTTAAAGGCATGGAACTGATTTCAACTTGCATAATTCAACAGAGCAAAGTCTTACTAAATGAACACCAAAAACTTTTTCATGGAAAAAATCCTCTATAAATTTGTCAGCTGCAAAATGTCACACACGTGTATATGCCAAGAATTTCACCCTGAAGGCAGCTTGCCTACAGTCAGGGGGAGAAAGAGATTTTAACCTCTCTGTGACAAGACCACCTCGTATCCAGCACCACTCCCAATAACTGCCTGTTCAGGTGTGAAATACTAGTGTGACCAGACTGACTGTTACCTGGAGCAGCTTTTCTCCATGCAGCACTAGATGACTGTTGGTAATCCCACGTTCCCTGGATCTGATTTTTAGATGCTAAATGTTACTTGGCGCAGACAACCTTTCCGCTTCACTCTCAGAGAGTCATTGAGTTATTTGTTTAAACATCTTAGCACTCAGTTAAAACATGCAGGGTGGGTAGTAGAGACATTATTGAGCGGCTGGGAGAACGAGAAAGACAGAGAAAGAGGTGGGGGAGGGTGGCAAAGAGAGGAGGGTGAGGTGTGCTGGGACATCGAACAACTTTTAACCCTTTACTCGCTGTTGCCATATTGAATTTAAGAGATTCTCGAGACTTAACATTCATATAGTAAAGCTCAACTTTCAGACTGCAGGGAAAACAATGCAAAATGCATTTTAACATATCACGTTACTTACTAAGATAACCAAATGAGGCACAGGTAGACAGCTTTTGTGACATGCAGTCATCTTTGAAACCATTTTAAAAGAACTATATGAGGTAAAAGAATATATAGCTATACTTGCAATAAAAATAAAATGAGAAACAAATTCAAATGAATGCTGTTCTTTGATGAAAAGTTCTTTTCTTTTCAAAGAAATGGTTTTCAACATTGATAATAATTAGACATTTTTCTTGATCACCAAATCAGCATATTAGAATGATTTCTGAAGGATCATGTGATTCTGAAGGCTGCAGTAATGGCTGCTGAAATTTTAGCTTTGCCATCACAGGAATAAATTACATTTTAAAATATATTCAAATAGAAAGCAGCTATTTTAAATTGTAATTATATTACACAATAGTATTATTTTACTGTATTTTTTATTAAATAAATGCAGCCTTTGTGAGTATAAAAGACTTTCAAAAACATTAAAAATTTATTGTGACCCCAAACTGTTTAATGTTAGTGTATGTTACTTGAAAATAATGTAAATATTAAATTGTAAATAGTAATGTAAATATTAGATTTTATATTGTTATTATAGTTAATATCATAATTTATATATTTTCATTATTTGAATATTTACAACATTTTGGTTTACTTTAGTGTAATAGTACTAGATTGTAACAACTCTAATCTGGAACTGAAGCAAAACCATCTGAGAAGCATTGACCTAAAACAGTGATCAAATGTACTTTTAAATCACATTTGCACACTAAAACCTACATTGCAGCAAGATTTGTGGATAAGATTTGGCAGGTAGCAGATCCCACCCTCTACTATTTTCACCCACTCACCATAAGAGCTGAGCAACCATCTCTCCACCCATTTCACTGGCATTCCTCTCCTTGCCTCCATCCATTTCCTGTCGTTCCACTCTTAATTTTCTATAGACTCTCTCTCCCTATAAGTCAACATCTCACACTATTGCTATCCATTTTAAGGCCTTGGCTAGAGGTGTATTAGAGTGCTCAAATGCTCGTTTTATGGCAGACAGAGTGTAGCGTACTTGCCCATACTTGAATTTCCAGAGCATTTCCCAAGAGATAATATGATCCCTTCGCCTCAGAGGCTGCATACATCTGTGTGCCAAAACGAAGGCTTGGGTGAACTAGTAGTAAGTTTTGCTAATATAATAGCCCTAACAGAATGCATTTTCCACATCAGAATTACTTTTTAAAACCCGAAAGCCTCAAAGAGTGGAAGCCAAAGTAAGAAGCCAGGTCTGGTCATTGTTGTAGACCACACAATGCACTCGCTGATCTCTCTGCAGGCTCATTTCCCTGTTGTGGCCATGTATATTCAATATGTCCAGGACATCCGTTTAAAAGAGCTACGGAAACCTCTTGAGGTTTATCAGTTGTGTGGGTCACAACTTCGGTGTGTACATAGTGCCTTAAACGCCCCTTCAAAAAATCGAACACATTCCTTTTCATTTTCCACCTGATAATGATTTCCTCTACTTTCCTTTCAGATAACAGTGTTAGCAAATATTGTGAAAGTGATGTTTTTTTCACACTCTAGCCACAGAACTTTATGTGCTTCAAAGATTACAACACAACAGGAAGTGCTTCACCTGATCTCAAAAGCTAAAATTGGTAAGCAAAATTACATTATAGGAAGTCATGATCTTAGACGCATAAAATTAAACGAAGGGGCTGTTGTTCTTTGTGGTTAAATTGCCTTCCAAGCAAACAGCGGACGAAACACTGGCCCTGCAGTTTTAGCTCTAAGCAACATTTAAGTTCAAGTTAACATGTTGAAATACTTTCTTATATGCAGAGACTATAAATAAGCCATTAACTACTGACGTGCTATCAATACATTCTGGTTAAGCATCCTGACTAGCCCAACATAGCAACATTGGCACAACCAATGGCATGAGTTTAGGGCGGGGCTAAGTGTTTGGCCAGCAAATTGCAGATAAATAAAGTGCACAGTGAAACCTGCTGTGTCCAACATCATATGTGCTGAATTTGACAAGGAATATACTTCTTGATCACTGATAAAGTATGTTCTTTTGGTATGCATTTGTAAAGCAATCAAGCATATTACATCTGCAGTGCTGACATTGTCCTTTAAACGCTACATGCTACATAGAATAACCACAAAAATAATGCACTCGGGAGATAACAAGTATAATTTAACCATGATGAACAACATTCTTGGTATCAATTGCAGTTTCACTCGAATTGCATTTGAAAAGATGGCTTAAAGTTACAGTTCACATGGCCTCATTGGGATAACAAAGTGTCCACAGGCTGTGAAATTCAAAGTCACAGCAGGTGAACATCCGAGTATTATTCACCTACTGTTTCATGTGTATTTGAACAACCTACTCATCTGACATACTGCTTTTCACATACTATATACAGTGACAAGCAAAAGTATTTGAAACCTTTGGAATTGTTTTTTTTTTTTTTTTTTTTTTTTTTTTTTTGGTCAGAAATATGTCATTTGATCTTCATCAAAGTCACAAGTAAACTTTTTTGAACAGGGCGATAATGTGTCTTTTTTTCTTATTTTGTTTAAATATCTATTTTTCATTTAGTGTTGCCCTTCAGAAGCTATAAGATACAAATGTTTCATAGCAAGAACAATTTACTCTGATTATCATTTTCAAAAGGTTTACACACTCAGCTTTTAAACCTTCCTGAGCATCAGTAAATGTTTTTTTGTAATAGTGGTGTAGTTGAGTTGAATCCATCACTGGTCCTTAGTGAAAATATTGGTCCCAAAATCATACAGTTACTGTTGTGAAAAATCAAAGAATGTGCAGAACCTGGAGGATTTTTCTACTGAACAGTGGGCAGTTCTTTAGAAAACTGTTCAGGAAAAACAAGGGATTCATGAACAACTATCAAAAAACAATTGTGGGTCATCCAAGTAACAACAAGTCACTTACTTTTTCCACAGCACTGTGAATGTTTAATGGAATGTGTTCAGTAAATACATGAAAGATTATTATTGTGTTGTTAGCTTTAGCTTTTGTATATACTTGTGACTTGTGTGTACACTTGTGATCAAGATCAGATGACATTTTATGGCCAACAAATTTATAAATATTAGTGCTGTTAAACGATTAATTGCGATTAATCGCATCCAAAATAAAAGTTTTTGTTTACATAATATATGAGTGTGTATTGTGTATATTTATTATGTATATATAAATACAAACACATGCATGTATATATTTAAGAAAAATATGTTATGTTTATATATTAAATATATTTATATATAATATAAAATATAACAATATAAATATAAATGTATATACATGTAAATATTTTCAAAATATATACTGTATGTGTGTGTATTTATATATACATAATAAATAAACACAGTACACATACTGTCAGGGTTGCGGTGTATAATGAGCGCACAAAGAAGATGAACGTAAACAGTCTTTAATTAATCCACACAGAAGGTATCCACAGAAGGCAGGCAGGTAACACACGCACAACTCAACTTTAACACTGGACGAGGAAACACAGGACAGACTAGAACTAAATACACAGGCAAACGAGGATAATTAACAAGACACAGGTGAACTGAATGACACAATCAGACATGGGGGAAAACTTTAACACTGGATGAGGGAACACAGGACAGACTAGAACTAAATACACAGGCAAACGAGGATAATTAACAAGACACAGGTGAACTGAATGACACAATCAGACATGGGGGAAAACTAGGTCACGGAGCACATGAGGGAAGAAAAACACAACAAACAGTCCTGGGGTGTGACAGTTCGCCCCCCACCCGGAAGGCACGACCTCACGCCGCAGACACAAAGGGAGGGATGGAGAGGAACTTAGGAGGACAAATGGAGTGGAGAAGGGATGGTAACAGGGGACAGCGAAAGGCTGGCAGGAAGGTAGGCAGATGACAAGGTGGAGGTTCGGGTGGAGGACGGACTCCCGGGAGGAGGACGACAGACAGAGTCCAGGGAGGAGACGATGGAGGGAGGAGCCATGGAGGGAGAAGGAGGAGCCAGGCAGGACCCAGATCCCAGCTAGGATGGCGGCCCACGGTGGAGCCGATGGAGGGTGGAGCCATGGTGGAGGATGTGCTGACGGCTCTAGGGGGCTGACCGACGGCGGCGGAGCAGGTGGTGGTGGAGCCCAAGGCAGAGACGGAGCACCGAAGAGCCAGGGTGACGGGGAGGATCCGGAGGGCCAAGCCTGAGCAGATGGCTCCGGCGACCGAGGCGGAGGTGGGGATCCGAAAGGCCGCGGTGGAGCCGGAGCGACAGAGGATCAAGGTGGAGCCAGAGGGAAGGAGGAGCCTGACAGAACCAGAGGGACAGAGGGACGAGGTGTAGCCGGAGGAGTGGAGTCCCGAGGCATTGGATGGTCGACGACTGACCAAGGCAGAGCCGCAGGGACGAGGGAGCCCGGTGGAGCTGGTGGACTGATGGGCCACGGTGGAGAGGAGGGAGCTAGGAGCCATTATGGAGCAGCTGGGTCAAAGGACCGAGGGGGAGTCGGGGACTCAGAGGCTGGAGGCGGAGACAAGGGATCCTCCAGCCACGACGCCGATGGAGACTGGCAGACCCGCGGTGATCCCACCACACAGATGGTGGGCTGAGAATCCAGACAAGTAGAGGGTTCAGGGATGGTGTGTGAGAACAGGGAGCTCCCAACACTGGGAGCGCGGTGGACAGGGGAAACGACCTCCTTGGTCGTTTCAGGACAGGAAGACAGTTCAGGGCTGACAGATAGTTCACAAATGGCCTCCATGGCCAAAACAGGACTGACAGAGTTCAGGGCAGACAGACAGTTTAGAATATGAAGACGGGAGAAGGGCAGGTAATGCACAGTCCGCTCAGCTCACCCTCAGCCATGGTGCAGTAGGTGGAGCCTCCCTCCACGCTCTCACTGTCCATAGCGCTTTCCCCCGTGGCGAGCACTGTAGCCGGCTCTCGCACCTGTTCTGACGTCACGGGCTCTGGCTCCGAGGCGATCCTCAGCTCTGTCGCTCCATTGGGCAATGGCTCGTCGGTTGCGGTGGGCTCGGGCTCTCTGTCAGAAGTGGGCTCAGGCTCTTGCTCCGCACAGCGGGGTGATGGTGGGCTGGGCTCTGGGTCCTGTCTCGTTCCGGATTGGGGTAGGATGCTCTCCAGACACGAAACATGGCATCCCTCCAGCTCAGTCCCATGGTGTCTGGGAGGTCCACAGGGCGATGGTAATTAGCCCCGATCCGGAACAGGTATTTCAACGTGTCGTCGTCGTAAGGGGACGTGACCGCAAGAGGAGCGAATCCCAGGGCAAATGATACACAGAGAATTTCACCGCCCAATCCATACTTTTTTTCTCTTTTGAGGTCCAGTGTTCTGTCAGGGGTACGGTGTATAATGAGCGCACGAAGAAGAAGATGAACGTAAACGGTCTTTAATTAATCCACACAGAAGGTATCCACAGAAGGCAGGCAGGTAACACACGCACAACTCAACTTTAACACTGGACGAGGGAACACAGCACAAGGGGGAAAACTAGGTCACGGAGCACATGAGGGAAGAAATCACAACAAACAGTCCTGGGGTGTGACACATTCATATATTATGTAAAAAAAACTTTTATTTTGGATGCGATTAATCATGATTAATCATTTGACATAAATATACATTTTAATGACCACTATAGTTGGAAAGTAAAGCATATTCCTATAAACAACGCTAAAGAAAATGACACACTTCTGCTCTCCCATTTAACTTCGGAAGTTTTTAAAAATTCTTCCTTTGAAAAGTTTGCCAGTATCCTAATGAATAACCAAACTGACGTTACCAAGTTGAATGAAATTTGATGTCTCTATTCCCCGAATACATGACCTGGTTGCTCTTTAAAAGCTTTTACTGAATAAGTCTTGGCCTACTTCTCACAATGCATTGGGTGTACTCTTACAAGTTGCGCAACGAATTTTTTAATGTTTTGGATATTTTTAGCTCTTTATAGTCCCAATTTAGTCTAAAACGTATCAGTACAAAACAGTATATAATGCTGTTTTATTGATCAAGAAGACTTTGTGGA